TGCAGGACTCTGCAGGGGAGGATTGGGTCAGCGCCTGGAGCGTCCGCTGGGAGGGGACCCAGGCTCCTGTAGCTCACCAGCATCTTTTAGGCTGGCGTCGAGGGCGAAACCAAGAGCCCACCTCTTCCTACTGGAGCGAGGACCCGCGGCCGCCGGCGCTTTAAACAAGGCTGGGCGCATGCGCGCGGTGCGGGCTTCACCTGGGCAGGTGGGCAGGTGGGCAGGTGCGTGGTCAATGGCGAATTCGACTACTGCTCTAAGGTCAGGCAGCTGGAGCCAAGCTCTCATCCTCCACTTACCACGTGGCGAGGAGCAGTCCCTTGGAGCCTCACGATCTTCGGCTATGAAGTAGGGATTGTTTCAATTGATAGTCGTCCCGAGGATTTTCTAAGATTGTGTGTTAAGTGGCCAGCTCGGGCTTAACAGAATCAAAGCTTAGTACATAGGAGCTACAAGTCGCTTCACCCCCATTTAGAGGCCTCTGTGCTCTGGGCAGTGGGAGCTCAGGGGTGAGCAAATCCCCGCAGCCGCAGCCTTAGGCCCAGAGCGCGGGTGATGGGGAGAAGTCGCCAGCGATGGGCTGAGCCTGGACTAGTGCGGAGCTGCCCTCCCTGTGCCCGGACATGCCCCAGGGATCCTGTGCACAAGTCAGGTCGGTCTCACTTGGCCTCTGCTCGGAACTCCATTGCAGCTCCCATCCCCTCAAAGTGAAAGTCCATGCGGTTCTACATTATCTTCCCACAGGTGAGCACACACCTGTGAGCTCATCTCCTAACCCAACTCCCTCCTTCCTCCCTCTCCCGCCACACTGGCCTGGCTCATCCTCTGGCTCATCCTCAGCCTCACCTCGGCCTTTGCGCTGGCTGTTCCTCGGCCTGAAGTTCTCTTACCTCAGATGCCTCTCACTCCCTTTAAGGCAGAGTCTCAACCTTCTGGCCCTTTAAATACAATTCCCCATGTTGTGACCCAACCATAAAATTATTTTTGTTGCTACTTCATAACTGTAACATTGCTGTTATGAATCGTAATGTAAATGTCTGATATGCAGGATGGTCTTAGGCGACCCCTGTGAAAGGGTCGTTCGACCGCCAAAGGGGTCGCGACCCACAGGTTGAGAACCAGTTTTAAGGTGATTACTCAAATGTCCCCCTCTCTATGAAAAGCATCGTCCTGAACACTTCCGGTCCCCATCTCTATACTTATTCTCCCCTCAGCACGAACTGCCTTACTGTCTCCCTCCTCACTAGAACGTGAACCCATGAGCGCAGGGCGGGTCTGTTTTCATCGCCGTTCCCAGTGCCTAGAACACAGCTGGGCACATAGTACTCAGTAAATATGTTAATGATGAGTGGAAAGGCTGCGTTTGTCATTTAGAGATAGCTGTCCGGAAGGACCTCTTTGAGGTGACGTTGGAGCTGAAACCTGGGAGGAGGAGGAGCCAGGAAAGCAGACAGGGGAGCTACCCCACGTGGAGGGAACAGCCTGAGCAGAGGCCCTGCGGTAGCAAAGAGCCTGCTATTTGGAGGCACTGAGAAGTCAGAGAGGCTGGCAACGCAGACAGATAGAAGCGTGAGATGCTGGACCAATGGCTTCCCGTCAAACATGCAGTAAACCCAGCTCCTTCACAAGATCCCGCTGTTACCTCTCTAGCCTCATTTCCTTCCGCCCTCCATCTCCTTCACTCCACTGGACACACCTGTCCTCTTTATGGTTCTTAAACACATCAGGCACCTGCCTGGCTCAGGGCTTTTGTGAGCTTGTGGTGAGAACCTGCATATTTACATTCTCCGTGTATCTCTATACAAGACACTAACTACACAGAGGACGCTGTAACTTGATAGCGGAGACACCTGACAAACGCTCCCTTAACCATGGGATTAGTCACCACCGCAATGGGATGTTCAGATTCCTCCTGGAAAGTTGCACTGAGAAGGGCACATCATTCCTGGGAATTCCTGTACAACATAGCTTGAATATAGCCACAAGGAAACAGGCAGTAACCCCTCATTGAGGGATATTCTGCAAAATAATTGCCCATAAGCTTCAAACCTGACAACTGGATTCAGCAGCGAGCCTGGATTGAGTCACTAGCCAGGAAATAGTTTCCTTTTCGGTGCACAAGGACATTAGTGTGACCATCACAAAATCTAAGGTCTGAGGAGAACATTGTTTCACTGTTAACTTCCTGACCTTGATCACCGGATTGTGGTTAAGACAAAGTTCTCATTATAGGATAGATACGTAAATGTGGAGGGGGGAGGGAACAGAGTAAATGTAAAACACGGGGGAATCACGTGAAGGGGAGACGAGAATTACTTGTACTTTTTAAAATAAAAATAAAAAGATTTATGGAAAGTGGCAGACACAGTAGAGTTCCCAAGTACCTGCACCCAATTTCCCCTATTAACACCTCATCCATCACTGGTGTGGTAATCTGCCACAATTTAATGAGCCACAGAAATTCATTCAGAAATGAAATTCATTCATTCAGGTCCATGCCTTATTCAAATTTCCCATTTACCTAATGTCCGTTCTCTGTTCCGGGACCTCATTCAGGATACATTACACTTGGTCTCCTTGTCTCCTAAAGCTTTTCTTGGCTGTTCTCAGGCTTTTCTTGTTTTGAACCTCGACAGCGTTGAGAACTAGTGGCCAGGTCTTTTGTAAAACATCCCTCAGTTGGGATTTGCCCGGTGTTTTCTTTTAGACTGGGGCATCTGTTCTAGAGCAGAAGGCCACAGACACAGGGTACCATCCTCACTGCATATCAGACTCACTGCCAACATGACTCATCACTGCTGATGCTGACTCATCACCGGCTGCTGTGGTCGCCGGTCTTTGCCCCTCCTCTACTGTCCTCTTTGGAAGGAAGCCACTTGGCAGCCACCGAAGGAGGGGATGTGCTTCCCTGAAGGCAGAGCATCTACGGAAACTATTGGACTTCTGTACACGTGTGTCTGTTCTCGCCATTTTGGGTATAACCAATGCTGCACTGTTTTATTGCTCAGATTGGTGCTCAAACTGCGTTCGGCTTTGGCCACTACTAGAGGCTCATCCCATTGGCTCCTGTGTCCCTTTACATGCCATTAGTGAGGTTTCTTTTCTTCTAGGTCCTTCATTCTGGACACGACTGGATGCTGCAGGTTCATCTTGTGTACTTCCTGCTCTAATCCTAGAATCACTTTAGCACTATTTTTTAAAGTTTCAAAGTTTCCTACCGGTCTGAAATTATTTCTAGTCAACGTCAAAAATACGCGAATCGCCCTAACCGGTTTGGCTCGGTGGGTAGAGCGTCGGCCTGTGGACTGAAAGGTCCCAGGTTCGATTCCGGCCAAGGCGATGTGCCTTGGTTGCGGGCACATCCCCGGTGGGGGGTGTGCAGGAGGCAGCTGATTGATGTTCCTCTCTCATTGATGTTTCTAGCTCTCTATCCCTCTCCCTTCCGCTCTGTGAAAAATCAATAAAATATATTTTAAAAAAAATACGCGAATCACATTTTTTTGGAAAGCTGTCTGACACATATCAAAACGCAGCGACCCTGGAATGTCGGCCACAGAAATGCAAGCACAAGCAGAGTGAGAGTGGATGTTACGGTTACTTCCGTGCTGCGGGCGGCAGCGAAAAGCAAACAGAAAAGCTGGGAACAAGTAAACCCTTGTCCACGGGGGTGGCAGCATCAGCGGAGGTGTGTCCACCCTGAAGGACCTTGTGAAGCACCTGGGTAGCATCACAGCAATTCCACCAGGAGTTCCTCCAAGTGAAGGGACTAAAAAACCTCATTTTCACCAGTGACCCCACAGGCCTCTGAGCACACACGGTGGTGGGAGTGCGGGTTCCATGCGGCAGCACACAGCCCAGGGTGCGGCCTGGTGACCTGGGAGGAGAGGGGTACAGGAAGGGAGGAGCCAGCCCTTCGCGATGCCACGCCCATCTGTGCAGGGGGTAACGTGAGACCCATAGTCAGGGCCCCAGGTCTGGGATCCCGTGACTCACTTCCTTCTGCACACTTTTGTTTTGTTGCATTTTTCTTTACACACACACACAAAACTTGTGACATTTTCAACATGCACATGACAAAAAACAGATGACTCAAAATTTAATTTTTCTAATTGTTAAAATTTTATTGAAATTCTTTCACCTAAAATTCCCAGTTTGGGAAAAGTCCTACAGGAATGAGAAGCACCACTGCATCTAAGGACATTAAGTTCAACGGAGGAAGCAGCTGATTGACCTATATAGGAGCCCGTCCCTGTGACAGGTCCCCAGAGACGGACCACATGCAGAGCTGAGTGAGTTCCTGAAAGGACTCTCTAGCACCGGCCCCTCAGACTGTGACTAGAGGGGAGAAGTAAAGGCTTTTCTTCATAAGCCTGTTTATCTGATTACCACCAAGGCATACTTTTATAATTTAAAAAATGTCCATAAGAAATAAGGAAAAAAATCCAAAAAATTCGAGTCTTGGTTGCAGGTAACAGACTTCCTGGACTCAACTTTTCTGCTCCCCGCACTTAAGATCTCAAAAACTCCCTGTGTGGGAAGCCCTAATAGCTTCTGGCAAAATCGGATTGAAGTTCGCAGGTGTGCAGCCTGGCAGCCCTGGCCCCAAGGTCTGGGAAGAGTGACTCAGCATGGGCACCAGCTGTCAGGACTCCCAGACGGAGGGGCTGTGACCCAATCGGAGGTGCTCCCCACTGACAGCCACCACAAACCCCGTTATACCAGGGAATCCGTGGGGGAACTAGGGGCCTCGAGGCTCCCCAGTTTAGCATCAGTGGAGGCTGGGGGATGCAGATGCACGGGCAATGCCTGCTCTAAGGCTCAAGCACCTCAGGAAGTGAACATGCTCCCCCTCACACTCCTGACAGGGCTCAGTGACCCCTCACATATCCGCCCGGCTCTCCCGCCCCTGGCCCTCCCCCGCTTTCTGCCTAAGCAGTTTCCGAGCGCCTGGGATGACCTCTGTCCACCCCCACCCCACCACAGGCCCCGTTTCCTAAACTCAACAGCTTCCCTCCCAGCAGTGCCCTCCCTCTCCAGCCTGAGCTTGACACCACCTCCCCGCAGGACGCCTTCTCTGCCTGCACAACCTAACAGCAATGGGAGCGGAGGCAGCGGGCACTTGGGGCCACTCCATAAGCAAGGAAAGGCCCAGGGTGGTGGGCCCGGTCTGAAAAGAGTCTTTATTGCTTGTACCGTACAAATATGAGGAACAGGGAAAGGCCAGTGGGGAAGACGGAGAACTGTCAGATAAATGACATACACACACAAAAAGAAGAGACCTCCCACCCCCAAACCAGCCCCACCCACCCCACGTCTCTCGGTGAACTACCTAGTACCGGAGGTGAGAAGATCAAAACCACAAAGTTACATTCCAAACACCCGGAGATGTTGGTGGGGAAGGGGGAGAGACAGGGCAGCAAGTGGACCTCACGTGTGGCTCTCACACTAGGCCAGAACCCCTCCCCCTGGGAAGAAATGCTGGGGTCAGGGCCAGGGGCCCGAGTCCACACACATATGCACACACACCACACACTTGAGGCCGGGACACGCTTGCTCTCACACACACACCCAGCACACATGCACACACACACCACACACTTGAGGCCAGGACTCGCTTGCTCTCACACACACACACACACACCCAGCACACATGCACACACACACCCCATGTGCACTGTCTCAGATGCACAAGGACACCAACAGCACACAATCCAAGGCACGCACGCACACGAGTGCCCATAGCACTGACACGTTCACCTTAAGGCTGCAGAACGTGGGGCTGGGGGAGGGGGGTGGCCTGGAGCCTCCTTCTCAGAGGCCCCCACCCCAGTATGTACCAGAGACACCCATCCCTGCCCCCTCCTCAACCAAGTTCATGGGGCCCAATACTGTCTCGGTGCGAGATGTGTAACAGCCGAGGCTGGCACCCCTCTACCCCAGGCAGAGAGAAGGGGCAATCCTGGCCCCCATTCCGGGAGGGGCCAGGCCCAGGTCCAGCAGGAGGTAAGGCTGGCTGGAAGGAAGCCCTGGTAAGGCACGGGGCTTGGGGTGGGAAGGCTGGGCCCCAAATGTTCCTCCTACTTCGTCCACAGGGTCAGGAGAGCAGCGTGGGGCGCAGGGAGGCAGCGTCCATCCCCTTGGCCGCTCTGGGTTCCCCACCAGGTAATCGACCCCAGCTCAAGAGAGCCCTGGACCTCTGCTCCGGCAGCTCTCAAAGGCCCCAGCCTGGGCCTGGGCTGTTCCCTTGCCAGGCCACTCGGAGCCTAACGACAGGCATGGAAGGCAGCCCGAGTGCTGTCCGCACCTCTGAGGGCGGCACAGCACAGAAGGCAGCCGT